ATGGAAAAAATCACAAACCCCCATCCGATAGTTGCAGAATAATCTACCTTCAGTCTCTTTTGATAGACCAACCACACGTATGGCAGCAAGAACACCACATTTGCACTTTGGGCATTTATACGACAACTCAAAACTTGTTCTTTTTTTTTCGCATGGGAATTATTACTGCTCGTAGACATCTGCAGATTTGAAAATTCACACAGAGAAGGTTGACATTACGGCTTGAAAGAAAATAAAAAATTCAATTTCAAAGAAGCTCGAAAATGTTAGACAGACTGGGAAATTCCCAAAAGTTCAGAGAAGCTAGAAACTAGTTCACTCCAATTTACAAAATCTCAAAAATAACAAACACCACCGACGACATTAGGTCATGAAAAGATATAAAACATTCAGCCTCGATTAAAAAAAAATAGCTATTTAATATACCAATTTCCGTACACTACAATGAAGATACCCACATTTGCAAACCTTAATCAAGAAAGAATCAACATCCACCAAAACCAAAATCATATCCAGATATGTCGCCAAACACAGGAAAACCAAAATTAAGGGAAAATGAAGCCAAGAAAAGAGGAAAAATCGAAAACATCAAGTTTTCAATAGAAACACGTACCTGGAAATTTGAAATCCGTAGCTAAGCAACGTCGAGGAGGGGATTCTGGACCTGAGTTTGCTTCGTTGGTGCGAGATCGATGGAGAGGGAATGTTATAACTTAATGAAAGTCATAAGGGTAATTAGGTAGTTTGGGTAGTTTAAGAAAAGAAATCCTAATAATACTCGCTTAATCCGTGCGTGCATACCAACCTCCATTATTTTTAACATTTAGGAGGGGGGGTTGCGCGCATTGTTTCTGAAAACACAGGGGAGACACGCAGTTTTTAATGTACATAGGAGAATGGCCCCGAGTTTCCAAACCACAGGGGGATATAGGCAATTTTGCCTAAAATTATTTATAATAAGACTAAAATTGATGAATTTTGTATATTGAAACAAAAATTGATATATTTAAATTATATTGGGACTAATATTAAATTTTTTTTCCAAAGAAAAATAATTATGAATATCTGAGTCCTAATTTGCACAAAATATTTATTTCACAAATTTGTTGGAGTTTCTTAAAAATTGGCCTAAGTCAAAGTATGATTTAAAAATCTAGCCCTTGAATGAGTTCCCAAAACTACTATATTATAAATTATAGTAGTTTCCATCATTTCTATTTTTCTAAAATTTAAGAGTTTCTAAAACTCTTAAATTATTAAATATAGTAGTTTTTAAAACTAGTGTAAATATTTTATTAGAAATAAGAATAAATATAATTCTAATCCAAATATAACTCTAAATCTGTTTTTACATATATATATATATTGGATTGATAAGTTTCGTATAAATGTCATCCTCCATGAATCTTGTTGAAACTCCTCCTTAGGCAACTTGTGAAAATATTCAATCGAATGACATTCATTTTGACTACCTGAATATGGTATTGTACGTGTTTGAGGAGATCCCGATGGCCCTGGCTCTTGCCATAATGCAGTAGCATCTACGCTATCTTTTTCAAAATTCCCGTATATCTCCATTTCATCATCTATGATTCACTAGGGTGTGTTTGTTTGAAGGATTTGTGTGAATTTCTACTATTCACACAAATTTTTCCCCCGAAAAATATCAAATCAAACACTTATTTTTTATTTTTTATATTATACTAAAAATCAATTTTACATTCAAAACATCATATCAATACATATTTATATCACATCATACAACTATTCAAATTTAAACTTTTAACTATTCAAATCTCAATCCAAAATCCAAACCCCAAACAAACACACCCTATCTTCTCCAACTCCTTGACAATCTGCATTTAGTATTTGTATATAATCATCTTTTTGCTCAAGACTTGTGTTGGGATCCACATATGTTGTCTCTGTACAATCGCACTTGTTTCATTAATTTGTAATTCAACAAACAACTTCAAATATTTATAACTATTTTTTAGATTTAAAACGTGATGCAAATTGATGTCACTCACATTAATAACCCTTATTATCTGGTTATCTTGTTTATTCGTCCAATTATATGGAATTTTCAAAATTGGAGAATTTTGCATCCGATTTTTTGCAATCAAATTATAAATCAAATCTTCTAAATCTTCAAATGTACTATCTCATCGAACAACTGTCATACGCTTTGGATCATAATCATATTCTATTATATACGGCTTTCATATAATGTTACTATCTCAATACAGTAGAATATCAATATTGCTCTGATCACTATTAGTCATCTATTTCTGTAAAAATAAAATAAAATAAAATAAAATAATATATTAAATAAATACTAATAAGAATAAAAATAATATAAAAATATACAATATATGTAAATATTATTATAAGAAATACACATAAATACATTATACATATAAATAATATATAATAAATATAAACCTTACCAATAATACCAAAATAAACAACTAAGATGTTATAAAATACAAATAAATACACAAACACTAAACAACTAACTTATTAGAAACAATACAAAATAAATATCATATGAAAATAAATTTGTAACTAAATAAAAAATATTCAATATAAAACAAAATATTGCCTACAAACAATATAAAACAAAATATTGTATAAAAACTACTCCCTCCTCACATAATTTGTCCCTTATTTTCATATATGTTCGTCCAACATAATTAGACATTTCTTCTTTTGAAATATGATTATACACTTTAATAATATTTTAAATTTTATAATTTATAATTTTTTTAATTTTAATTAAACTATTTAGTTATTTTTATTATACAATAATTAATTTTACTAATACAATTCTTAATTACTTACTAATTATATTTGACTTAAATTCTCATATCTACAGTAACGGAGACAAAATATATGAGATGGAGAGAGTATAATATAATTAAATCAAAAAAATAATACCTGAGAGTTGGACCTTTTGAAAAAAAAGAAATTACTTCATAAACGAACACACGATACACAAAATTTGAAATACATCAAAAAATTTTAAAATTGTGTAAATTGAAATTAAAAGTATAAAAGTTTTCAAAACTCCTATAATAAAAAAATATAAGGGTTATTAGAACTAGTTCACATAAAAAAAATTGTTGAAAAAAAAAAAAGAATTCTGAAAACTCTTATATATAATGTTTCATGTTTCAAGGCCTTTCAAAACTTCTATCATTTTGCGTCTAAAATTTTTAAAAACTTCTATAATTTAAAAATATAGGAGTTCTCAAACCTCCTTTCAAAAGCTAAATTTGGGTCATTTTTTTAATAAAAAAAAACTCAAATTTGTTATGTATCATTATCTTCACTCCTACTTTGGCGCTTTGCATATTTATTTCCTCGAAGGAACGAAACAAATGAATTCACAGCATATTAGTTGTCATTGCATAATGTAATTACAGGTTCAAATCCTATATTCTCATTTCTTCTTTACCCTCTATTTCATCCAATCAAATAAAGTCATTTATAATAATACTATCTATTTAATTCATTTGCTAAAATTTGGCTTTCTTTAATCAATTCATTTAAATGACTATTATACCCCTATTTTAAAATCTAGTATTTTGTTGGTATAGAATTGAAAAAATTAAAATAAAATCATTGTTTTTCAAAAGAAAATATACATAAAACGCAATATTATTTTTTTCAAAATATTTTAAAAATTGTAGATCATATAACATTTTTTCTCTTTGTATTTTTAAAAAATTTGTAGGATATATATATATGTTACAAATGTTATACTTTATTATTTATTGAGGAAGAAAACATCATCAAAATCAAGTCAAATTAAATAATTAATTTCACTCCAAAAAAAATACTATATGATAGAAAAAATAAAAAACAAATAAAAAAAATTCAAATATAAAATTTTAAATATGTTTTAGATCCTGCACTATAGTAAAAATATAAAATAGAAAAATTAAACAGTCATTTAAATGGCACCAAGTCTTCACTATCCAAGTGATTTGAAAGTTGATCTGTTTGAACTTCAATATTTATATATATAAAAAAATTAAGATAAAAAAATCAAATGGCAAAAATTGATTTATGTGATTTTGCACATAGTTTTGACACTGCAATATAAAGTTTATAATATAAGATAAATTAAAGTATAACAAATATGTTTATTCAAATACAATGTAAACTAACCTACCACGGTTGATAATTTTGACGAAACATTTCAAATCCTTGTTTTCGATAAATTATTTCATTTGCATACTGAAAAAAAAATATTTAATTCAATAATAAAATTAAAAATTAAATGTCAAAAAAATATAAAATTTATACCTGTACAGGATCGAAATATCAGAAATTAACATATCTTTTGTTGCACTTGAGCTTTGGGTGGATGACTTTTTCTTCTTCCTGGAAGCTTTTTCTAGCTCACTTTTAAATCTTTTTCCTTAAACAACTTTTTTTTTTTAACTTTTATTAACCTTTACTCCTGCTGTAGATGAATTTTTTTTTTTTTTCCTTCAATTTCTATAGACTAGAGTTATCCGAAAAAATATTCATACTTTGCAACTTTGCATTAACTATTTCAAACATTTCCTTGAATCTATTCTTACTATTTCGTATGTTTCTTTTGTTTCAGCTGCTCTTGTAACAAGTTGATTAGAAATACTACATAAATTCTTATACCAGATTGTTGACAACACTTTTGAATCATCATAAAATGTGAATACATTATAAAAATCTCCAACATTCGGTTTTCTAGTCCATTATCTTAATATATATGAATCTGGAATCATAATAATATTATGTACGGTAAAAACTTTCAAAGCATGAGAAGACAATATTCTAAAAAATTCAAATTTTCTACAACTACATTGTATCGTGCTATTCAAAGAGTCATAGTTGACAACATGATATTTTGATTACCCAAAAGATGTTATATGGTAAATTGAAGCACCTTCAATTACACAAACAACATAAAAGCTACAATCATAAGCTTTGCACAATTTCTTTTGAAATAATTTAAATACGTCAGGAGTATAGATATCTGCTTGTATATTTTAACAATTGAGTAGAAAAAGATAATGCAGGAGTACTTGTATTTGATCTTAAATAATCTTTCAACTCCTCACAATGACGATTATCAAGCAAATTTTCAAAATATTCAAAGAATTGACGTAAACTATTTTTGTAATTGACGTACCTTTTAACCACGCTATTCATACTTTCGCTTCTTTGTGTCGTAGTGATGTCAGCACAAAAATATTGACGACCATAAACCAATGCCCATTTTTCTTTTTTATTGAATAATATTTTCAACCAATCATTATTTTGAAAATTATTTTTTTCAAGCATGTTATTCCATTCAATTTAAAAATCATCTTCTTCTCAAAATCATACACACATACTAAAATCATGTGCAAAATCTTTAAATTTATCAAAAATTCCACCTAAATGTTTAGCAGCATTTTGATATATATGTCAAATACATAACCTGTGGGGTGTCTCTGGCTATTTAGAAGCTAAGGTTTTGGCCTTTGCTTCATCTTCATCAGTCAAAATAGTTGTTGGCTTTTTACCTGATATGCTACCAAAAAAATAAATTAAATAACCATTCAAATGTTGCAGTAGTTTCATTATATAAAAGTGCGCAACAAAAAATAACAGTTTGTTTGTGGTGATTCACACCAACAAACAATGCAAGAGGACGATTTTGAGAATTCTTCTCATAAGTTGTATCAAAAGATATCACATCTCCAAATACAACATAATCAGCTTTCATTCTTCCATATGTTCAAAATATATTAGTTATTGCATCATCCTCATCAACTTGCATTGAGTGAAAAAAAAAAATTGAATCTTTCACATGCATCTCTTTCAATATTCAAGTACTCCCCGTATCTCCAATTTTTATATTCTTAGTTCTCTTTGAATGCAAATAATTTCTACAATCCTGTGGTAAATCCTAAATTATCACGACCACCTGCTTGTTTGATCATATAATCATGAGATGCTTTAGGTGGAATACCTATTTTAATTTCAGTAGCTTGAGTTTCAGTTATTTTTTTGTATAATCTAAATAAGTGAGTTTGATCTGCACTAGATAAATAATGATTATGATTTGAAATAAATTTCACAATCTCATCTTTTTCATTTTTATTCAAATGTATTTTCATTTTTTTCAAACACCTAAATCTAGTTTCAGCACACAAATTTTTAACATAAACATTTCGCTTATCAGGTTTTTGTTTATCTTCAGCACAACAACAAAATATTCTATCTAGTTTACCATTTTCTTTATGAATGTGTTTTTTCTAACACAAAATCCAACCTGTTTAGCATATGCATAAAATAAAATTCTCCAACCAAATTTTCAATATCAAATTACATACCTATTTGAGGAATATGTTCTTTTGAGATGAATTTCTGGAAATCATGAGAATTAAGATTATCAGAACCTGAACCACCAATAATAATGAGATCATCACTTTCTTGATAACAGGAATGTTTTACAACAAATATTAAATTTAATTTAAAATAAATTGTAAAGCAGTTCCGTCAAAATAAAAAATACAATAAATATACATATTAAAAAAATAAAATACTTGATTTTTTTCTTCATTTGCATAAGATAAATTTATTTATTGACATATGATATAATTATATAGAGAATCCTATATATATATTTATAAATTAATTAGTTTAATATCAATTTTAAAAAAAAATTCTAAACAATAGGAGGATCATATAAATTACTATAAAAGCAATACTTTTTTGTAATAGAAATTCAAGTTGCAATTAATATGAGATATTTTATTTTTTCACATTCAATTCAAAATATTTTTAATTAGAAGAAACAATAAGCAACTAAACATAAAAAATTTAAGTGAGAATAAAATGGTACAAGAGGAAATAAAATGTAGATGTAGACTCAGCATCAGGAAAAAATTTGATGACAACAAACAAAAAAGCAGCGAGAGGCGACAATGAAAATATTTGATAACAGCAAACAAGAAAGATAGTAAAAAATAACGTCTAACAGATTTCACAAATAGAAGATAAAAAAAAGATAAAAAAATACTTATTAATGGTTATTTTTCTAAAAGGATAATAATTATTTTTATGAATTAATTAAATAAAAGTTGATTTTAATGAATTAATTAAATAAAAAATATTATTATAGATGAGTTTATTGGATTGAATATAATAGAGCACAGAGTAGAAATTGAAACAAAAGATTTATCCTATAATTACAACAAAATCACATCCAATCCCAACTAACAACTATAATAATATAATAATAGTAATAATAATAATATTATAATAATAATAATAATAATAATATTCAGGCTCAGACCGAGTCTGAAGCTGAATCTGATACGGGCAGCTTCGTATACAGTGCTTCTCCCACCACACGATTATCGTCGTCTATGTCTATCTTCTCACCGTGACACTTCTTACAGTGAAAGTAGAACACCGTCACCACAACCGACAAATATATCTTCACCAATCCCATGAATACCAGAAAAGAAAGGCCATATACGGTGATGTTGAGAGCACCTCTGTCGCCCACTATCATCACAAAACCCACAAAGCACACACACACCACTATATTGCTGAATAGGTTCATCATGAACCCCTCCAATCTCTGCCCTTCCGCAAGAGCCTCCCCTCTTTCCGCAGCTACGGCTGCATCGCTAATCTCCTCGACAACCGACGCCACGTGGGCCAGCATCCAACCAACCGACGATTTCAGCTGGTAAACTGTGAGCCCCATCGCAAGCACCGCAAGCAAGCTTACAGTTAGAGCGTTGATCAGACCGTATATCATTAGGACAGCAAACGAAACTCCGAGAATCACAGTGGCAAAGGCTGCCTTCCTGGAAACCAAGGAATTCGACTTGAGTGGCCTTCTCCTTGTTCTCTTGAGTCGGGCCAGCAGATCTGACGGCGACTGCTTGCTGTTGCTGGGGTAGGCTAAGGCTAAGGCTGTTGTGATGATCGTTGAAATTCCGGATAAGTGAGCCAACAAGATGTATACAAATACGAAGATGATTTCGGAGACGAAGAACATGAGCAAGTATATGTAGAAGGAGTCGGATGCGAGGATGGCTTCATCGGTTGCGGCGTGGAGGAAGTGGGTGAAGATGAGGAAAAAAAAGGATGGGAATATGATTGAAATGGCTGCAATTGGGGTTGTGAGTGTCCAGATTTTGGGAAGAAGAAGAATGGATTCCTTGTGGATGGTGAAGAAGCTGAATAGTTGGAAGAATTCCATATCAGATCTATGTATGTATGTTGCTTGTTCAGAGCTCTAATTTGGAGATATGATGATATTTGGTAGTTGAGTCGAGTTAAGTTGCCTGCGCCTCTTGTGGTTGTGGTGGGACAAAACAGAAACAATCAAAGCCCATGGCTTCAAAAGTCTAAAGCCAGCTGCATCGGAAAATCCTGTTTCCGCTTATTTCAATTAATATATATATATATATCTCAATTTGACTACTGTCAAGTGGTTGTATCATTTTTAGAGAGCTTTGTATTTCAAAGTCAAATTAATGTATGTATGTATGTGTTAAGAATTAAAGAAATTGGGTTTATAGTTTATTTGCTTGAAGGTCTCATTTTATTTATTATCTGTTTCTTTAAACAATATTATTCAATTAATCTTTTAATTTAAAATATTATATAAAAATTAGTATAATTTAAAATATTATCTTCAATATTTATTTACATTATTGTTGAAGTGGGATTTTCAACCAAAATCAAAAGTAAAATTCTAAGATATATATTTCAAACTTGGTTGATGGTATCTGAGATTCAAATCCGTAAGCACTCGATTAGGTTACACTAAAATCAGATTGCGAAAAATAAAGATTTAAAAATAAATTTCTTCTGGAAAATTCTTGGATTTTTCATGATGCCCTTGATCAACCCTAGCTTTAGAATATTTATTTTGTTTTTAGGTAACTGTTCCGGCGGTTACAATTCGGCCACCAAGATCGTGAGATAATCACTTGATGGTTACATCCCAAAAACTTAGCCGCCCCAATGGGGTGGTTGAAATCGTCGTGGCGCGCCTAATTGGCTTTCGGGAGTGTAGTAGCCAAATTGTTGTACTTTCCGCCCTACTACGCTCCCGAATCAACGGTAACTGGGCTACCGACTCACCTAATATTTGGGCATCGACTCACACTTTGTGGGCTCATAGACCCAAACCCTAATTGAGAAACCTTTTTAGGGCTCAACAATTATATTTGAAATTCTTAACCATCAAAGTAAATCTGAGCGTTAAACATGGAACCAAACATTGCAGTGTTTGTAAATCTCTTAATAATAATAGTAAATAATAAAAAAAAAAAGTATATCCCATCCCATAGAAATTTTTGGTATGTTTCTTGTATTAATATCATAAAAAAAATTATATATATACATAAAGTCACAATATATATTCTCACACATGATACGTGTTATATATGACGATATTTTATTATGTTTTGGGCAGCCTCCCCTTTATATAGGCACTCTATCATGAATATGCTAAATCTTAGCAAGATATGGATACGCCATATCTTATCAAATCCACACTTGGATTTGCTATATCTTATCAACCTACGGATATAAATATCTAAAGAGATACGGATAATGATATCTAAGTAAATAGAGATATTGGATAAGAAATTTGGTATGTATGCTCCTGATAATGTGTTTTCAAATGTTTTGCTATGCTTTTTGGGATTGGAAAATTTTAAGCATGTTATGCAAGTAAGCAGCAGAATGCAGAAAAGTCTTAGGCATGATCATACTTAAAACAACACAGTGTTGGAAAAAGAAAAAAATTAAAATTAAAAAAAGTCCTCCGAAGTAAATTAACAATTTAAGGGCTGTTGTGTATAAAATTGCAAATGGGATATAAGGATGAGATTAAGAAAAACACAATGTGCAATTGAAGAGAGGAAGAGAGAAACGCACAACCACGTTCCACCCACGACACCAATCTTTAGAGGGGGAACAAGAGGGAAATAAGAAAATGTAGTGCAGAGAACCTCCATAGCGGTGCAGACAGAATTTCCGGGAATCCTTTTTTCATTCTTAGAATTGGTTTGTTGTTGATTCCCAAAAGATTGAAGGCTTGATAAACTCCTTTATTCGCTTTGTGTTTTCGATTTCTATTGATTGTGAGTAATTTATTTTCTAGTTTAAGTATGGATTGAAGTTTGAGATATGAATTTGTGAGGCGTGATTTGGTTTTAATTTGATATTTATTGGTGTTGGGTATTTTTAATTTTTATGTTTTGCATGATTTGAAATCTTAAATTGATATTTGTGACCAGTGTTAATTTGAGATTTCATGGCTATATTGAGGATTGACACCCGTAATTGTGTAATCTTTTAATTTGACTAGCAACCTAGAGGAAGAATATTTTAGGGAGAAATTAAAATCAATTTTGAACGAATCCTCGTAGGAATTTGGTTAAATTGAATGGGGTCTTTCTAGTTCTCAATATTTTTGAGTCAGTAATACTAGGATCGTATGTAGGATTCTCAATCGAGTAGAAAAATAGCTAACGGTCATACCTTATCTATCGATAAAGTAAGGAAATGTTTGTTATAAATGTGTGTAGATCAACTATAACCAATCTATCCAATAAACCAATAAACTTGATTATAGTCGATGAACAAATTTTCATATCCCTAACGGAAATTCGTGTCTAGGCTAGAGTTTAGTAAATTTTAGAATTCGGTAATCTTTTAGCTTAATATATTTTCTTGCTAATTCGAATTATTTTCCTTTTTTATTTAGCGCAGTAAATCAAATTTCAAATCCCTTTATATATGATAGATAAATAATCTTGGCTTGCCAATTATTAAACTAAGTCAGTCAAAACCACAACGGCTAGTCTACTTGTTGCGCAAGTTTAGGAACTGATTTTCTAATTTTAGGTTATTTGATTGAGTCCGTCGTTACAAATTATTCTTATCCATTCCTCTACCTAGTATGAATAAGCATAAAATTTATTAATCGTTGTATCAGTTTTCAGAGTTTCATAATAAAGTTTTGATTTCCTCTCTGCACGCCTATCACCTCACTCGTATGATCACTTTTTCCCTTCACTGCATGTGTTTCTCCCCAACCACTAAAGCATATATATATATATACAACCACGTGACTATCTTCAATTCCTATTAACTGCTCCGAAAGTACACAATACTCTCTCAACTACCAAACAAAAGCCTTACACACACATATATATGAATTCATATATATCTTCATCCTCAAATACAATAAGTTTTTTTTTTTCTGTAAAATCCCACGTCGAGGCTTTCCAGAGAGATCAATACCTAAAAGAATTTTAACATCCAGCGAGAGTGAAGCAGTCTTCTCCAGCCCGAACCATTCAGAAGTCGTCGATCGTCAACTATCAATATATATATATTAGTATAATTATAAATAGTCAAGTGATCAAATCATTATTGTTTTCCTGTGGAGACGATCATATTCACCACTACTATATTGCGTTTTGCATTTTCTGTGGCGTAGGAACAAAATTTTATTTTACAGCTGTGCGACAGGCTAGTAAGGCACTTATAGAAAATCAAACATATTATTTTTATTTTCCCAACATATTTCCACTTACATAACGTAGACAAAAAATTGTGTTATTTTTAATAAATACAAAAATTTGTACAAATTATATTTAATTTGGATTTAAAATGGGTCTTATTTTCTAAATGGGTCATTTAATTCTCCTTCTGGGTCGATTTGTTTTCCAACTTGGTTTTCGATGGCTTCTTTCTTCCGAAGAGATTTGGTCTTCGGTTTGACTTTGCCGGATTTTGGAGGGTTTTGGTCTCCGTGCGAGCGATTTGATCGTCGGCTTTAGATTTGATATCCTCTTTCGACGATCCGAGGCTTTGATCTTTGGTTTGTCTTTATCACTTTTTGGAGAGCTTTGGTCTCTGTGTGGGCGATTTGATCATCGACTTTGGATTTGATGTCTTCTTTAGACGATCCGAGGCTTCGATCTTTGTTTTGTCTTTGCCGCTTTTGGAGAACTTTGGTCTCCGTGTGGGAAATTTGATCATCTGGATTTGATGTCTTCTTTAGACCATCCGAGGCTTTGATATTTGGCTTGTCTTTGCTGCCTTTGGAGGACTTGGGTTTCCATGTGGGCGATTTGATCGTCGACTTTGGATTTGATGTCTTCTTTGAATGATTCGAGGCTTTGATCTTTTCTTTGACTTTGCCACATTTCGAAGAGCTTTGGTCTCCGTGGGGGGCGATTTGATCATCGGCTTTGGATTTGATGTCTTCTTTGGACGATCCGTTTTGATCTTTGGTTTGGCTTTGCCGCCTTTCGGAGGGCTTTGGTCTCCGTGCGGGGCGATTTGACCATCGGCTTTGAATTTGATGTCTTCTTTGGACAATTCGAGGCTTTGAACTTTGAAGAGGTGGATTTGGTGCTCCATAATACTTTTGAAAGCGTGTCCCTTTGACTTTTGGATTGAAGAGGGTCTGGTTGATGCTTTTGACGAAAAAACCGAAAAACACCTTAAATCTTTGGGATGAACTTGGGAAACTCTTCCTTGGCTTTGACGGATCCTTCAACGGCTTTTGGAGCTTTGATTTTTCTTTAGGTTTGGGCATACGATGAAGAATGTTAACTCCATCGATTTGTCAACCAATATTGGATCATTTGTCCAAATCAGTAACTTTCGACGAAGAACGCTTTGAAGGGCACGAAGAACAATACAGAGAGAGTCCAGAGATTTACTCATTTGCTTGAATACTCAATGTAACTTCAGTGTGTCAAAAGAATTGGCCATGACTCCTATTTATAGGGGAGGAGTGACCTCGGCTTCCTTTTTAATGATGCCACGTGGTGCATCCTTATTGGCCAATAAGAAGATTATATAATCTTTCCTTTTTCATCATATGTTGTTTTCTATTCTTGACGGATTTGATTGTGCATCATCCTTTCTCACCAAAATCTTTATATTATTATCTTTCTCGAAAGATATTAATTTATATACATCCTTTATTGAAAAGATTATTTTATTTTGCTGCCAAATTTATTATGACTCTATTTATGCACGTAAAAGTTGTACGATATTTCCATTTTAAGCAGATTTTTGTTTTAATAGTTGATATTTATTGTACAAAAATTAACATATGTGCATAATTAAATATCACATATTTATTTTATTGGAATTTTATTTCTTCCAATATATATGATATTTAATTAGAAATGGCTGACCAAACAAAAAAATTTATCTGTTACGAAAATATTCGGTACAAAAAGTAACTTTTACAATGAAACATTTGTTGCGGATGGAAATCTGCTACAAATGAACATTATTTTGATAGTGAATATTGTGTGCAAGATTTCTTCACTTTGAAGTATATTTTACGTATAAATATATGCATATCCTCGTTAATGAATGAATATCAACGAATTCACTATGCTACAAATGAACATAATTTTGGTAGTAATATTGTGTGCAAGATTTCTTCA